TTTCTGTTTGTTTTTGCTTCTGTTTTTGACTCTTGAAAATAAAATAAAACTGAATTATAAAAAAAAGAAGAAGAAGGCTGGGTGTGCCTTGCCAGCCCTGAAGTGGCACATGCCTATAATCCTAGTTCTAGGGAGGCTGAGACAGGAGGATCACTACAAGTCTGAGCTGAATAGTGAGACCCTGTAGACCCTATACTAAATACAAAAAAATAAATTAATTTAAAAAATGAAAAGAAAAGATACTGGCACTGTCAAATGCACTGTGACTTACCGAGTTACATGTAGTACTAGATCCCTTGAACGACGGCTCTTTAGATCTACCCAACTTGTACCACATAAATCTGTGAATCAAAAACAAAACTAGCACAAGACTATGGGTTACCTAGAGATTGGCTGGCCCAAAACTCCTGGGGTAGTTCATCAGTATCTTTAATTTCAGTCAAAAGAAAGCAAAACTCCCAAGTTACCAAGTGAACGCCAGTGGATGGGAGATTAGCCATGGTACAGCAGGAGCTTTGCACGTCCAGGCCGAGGCTTGAGCAGTGAGCTAGAGTAGGTAAGTCAGCTGTTTAGCAGTGTGGTGGCTGTTGAACAGCCATCCTGGAAGATCATGTTTATAAACTATAGTGGGGGCATTGTATCAAAAGCAAAGGTAATAAAGACTAAAATTCATCATTCCCTAATTATGGGACTGTCTTACTATGACCTGTGCTCCGGAGATGACTTCTTTTACTGCATCTGTATAGCAGAAATGCAGCAAAAACGCCCCCTTTGCACGGTCACCATGCCGGCAACACAACGCTGGGTATGCTTGAGCACTTACGCCGCAAACTGGCACACACTGTAACCCGGCCTTGTGCTTTTCCTGGGAGTCAGTTTTAAACATTCCTGGTATGTTACTAACCCAGGAAGGGGCCACAGCCTGTCTGCTTGGCTCATGTGCAGACCTTGCGTCCTCAAGGGGGCTCACGGCGACCCAACTTAGAACACAAGAACAGTCGCCTGAACATTTACACAACAGGATTTTAGGAAATATGAAAACAATTCTTTTGTAGTACTGGAGATAGAAACCAGTGCGACAACCAGCAGTACTCTACAGGCTACATCCCCAGTGCTTTTTGAGGCATTGTTTTGCCAAGTTGTCTAAGCTAGCTTCAAACTTGCAATCCTCCTGCCTCAGCCTCCAGAGTAGTTGGAAGTACTGGTGATGTGCTCTACTGCGCCTGGCAACAAGACTTTTTTGAATATATATTCTAAATAAGGAAGCACATCTCCTAGAAAATAACAAACCAAGTCTGAGACATTTTAGAATTCCCACAATTAGCATTTGAAGGAAAGGGACAGAGTGGGTTTGTTTTTTGTCCTCTGTTTCTTACATCAGATACTTCCATGAGAAGAGCTGCTGCCCAGAGGCAACTAGACTGGACCTAGGAACAAAGCAGATGGGCCAATTTGTGCCTGCCACACCAGGAAGTGATTAAGTGAACCAACGGAACTCCCTGCAACACAAAGGCTTGATTGACCAGCGCATGGCTTGGATGCCTTTTGGGTCATTTCAAACATATGGAGTGTTTCACTCAGGTCACGTAAAAGATCAAAACTGGACAGAGTGAAAAAAGTTAGGGGCATGTGCGTAAAGATCTTTACCATTTTAATTTGTATTTTTTCTTTAAATTCATTTTGGAATGCCTGAAAATACTTTAAATGACCAAGCTGAACTAGCTGATATATATATATATATAAAGGGGCAGGCCCCCTAAAGAGTTTTGTTTTTAAATCCCAGAATTTTGTATAGTTGTTGAAATGTACTATATGAACACAACTATTCCATCTTATAAAATGTGCATAAATCAGGACAAAGGCCAAATGCATGTTCTTTCCCACAGAAAACTCAAAAGCAGCAGCCTTCATGTCTGAGGAATTATTATTTAATTCTAAATCTGAGGAACACAAGTTTTCTATTTCTTTTCCTTTGGAAATTTGCAAATACGGGGCAGCGTCACACACCCTTCCTACCAAATGCTGGCGGCAGCTGTCAGGGTTCCCAAGGTTATTTCCAAACACTCACACATACATATTTGTACAACAGAGCCCTCACATGCACCCTCTGTATTGGATATTTGAAACTAAAAATGTGATCGCATCCTGGCTTTGATCCTCAAAGCCACCATCTGTCACCTGAGGGGCCAAGGCGATGATTTTCCTCATGCTGTCCCACTCTGAGAGAACTCTGTGATATGGTGATCAGCCTGCTTTCTTTTTTCCTTTTTAGTAACAAAAGGTATTATTATTTATTTATTTACTTATTTAATTTTATTTATTTATTTATTTTGGCAGAACCGGGGATTGAACTCAGGCCCTTGCACTTGCCAGGGAAGTGCTTATTCCACTGAGCCATCTCCCCAGCCCAGAATTATTATTTAATTCTAAATAATTCTGAAGAACATCTGTAGTTTATAACTTTATTTAGAATCACTAAGCCACCAAACAGTTACAGGGCAATGACAACTCACTGCCAGTGAGACAGTATCTTAGAATTCACGTGTATAAGCCCGGCAAGTCTTCTGCACCCATCAAACATTTTAGTCTATGTAGTCAAAGTCTTCTGGAATTCCAAAATTTTTATCAATCTTATTTTCTTCAAATCCAAATTTTCTTTTGGCCCAAGATTTTATTGCAAATATATTATCTGTAAAAAACAAAAAATATTTTTGAAAATTAAAAACAATGATAGAATATTGCAAATGAAAATATTCTCACTATTCCTTTATTTACCTTATTTTCAGCTGTATTAAAATAAGTTTCCTATTTTCAAGTGTAATAGCAGTAATTACAGATAAAAGAAATCCACCTTATGGGTAACACAATGACAGGGCAGTTAGTGGCATCTTTCCTGTACTTGCACACGAGGCCAGACTCTTAGCTGGGTCAGGTCCCTGGCTCCCAAGGGGAGCGAGTCCTCGCAGTCTTTCTTCCTTCCACCCAGAGGGCTTGGCCTCTATCCTCTCCTATGTGTGTGTGGGGAGGGGCTGGGCAGCAGGGGAGCGCTTTCCTAAGACTAAGGAGGTCATCGTGCCCTTAAAATGCATTTGCCAGGGAGATAGCTCAGTGGAATAAGCGCTTCCCTGGCAAGCGCAAGGGCCTGAGTTCAATCCCTGGTTCTGCAAAAAAAATAAAATAAATAAATAAAATAAAATAAAAAATGCATTTGCCACTGAAAAAGCATTCTATCTACTCAAAGGAACTTATCCCAAGGAAAGAAAGCAAACTGTACACAAAGATTTTTGATAAGATCTTTATCCCAGTTCAGTAATAGAAAAGAAAACAAAAACTAACCCCTCCCCCACAAAAAAAACCTCACCCAAATGTCTGGATGTTGGGAGGGGTGCGATGTGCAGGCTGATGGCTGCAGGACAGCCCCATGTGCTGGCTGCCCTGGGAGTAGGGGTGAGTGGCCTTTCTTGTGCTCTCATTTCTTCTATGTACATGTAAAGACTTATATATATATTTTTTTTTGACTGAGGACCACACTCAAAATCTTCTAAGTTACATCCATAGCACTCCTCAAAAATTTTCAGGGTCTTTCTAAATTGCTAAATTGCCTAAGCTGGATTTGAACTTGTGATCTTACCTCAGCTTCCCAGAGTGCTGGCTGGGATTATAATCATGTGCCACTATGCGTGGCCATATATACCTTTTATAATGAAAATGTATTATGCACATGGAAAAATCATGGTAGAAGGTTTTCTGGGTCATCCTGTGGTCTGCTAGCCCTGGTTAGTAATGAGAATGAAAGCGAGAGGATGGGCCCACTCAGGTCCCCCTCTGGTGTCCCTGCTCTATACTGGTCCTTCCCCACCACCTCAGCCTGTGACTGTATTACATACAATGTTTAAACCTAAAATGAGACAATTAGGATGTGACTAGTATCTTCATAATAAAGGGAAGCCCGGCACACCAAGACATACTGGGGACCCACATGGAGCAAGGACGTGGGAGGACACCCCCAGCAAGCCATGTGAAGTCTCCAAGCAGAGGGGCCCCACTGATACCTTTGCTCTGCACTTATAGTTAGATGGATAATGCGATCTGTTTAGAACACTGAGGAAATACATTTCTGTTGTCCTAAATGACTCTATGGCATTTTGTCCAGGTATCGCTAGTGAGTTAATACACAGACTTTGACCATTCTTTAATATATTGTTTTTAAGAAAGTTTAAGTCCAAGTATCTAATAATGATGTTTCTGGAGTTATTTCTAAAGTGTACATTACTGCCTCAAACAGAAAGAATATTACTTCTTTCCACTAGGCTTATGGGATGTCAAGAAACACTGAAATGAATCTTTATTCTTTGTAACAAGCTCAAAGAAATCCTCCCCTTCCTAACAAGTGAGAGTTCTAAAATAGTGTGAGGACCCCAGGACTCTGTGACTCTGTTTCCTTTTACCAGTGTCTTCTCAGTCTGTACATGCCTGCCATCACAGTCCAGCACTTACTGAGGTTCACTGCTACAGAAGACAAGCTGCATGGCTAACATAGGTGTCCCAGAGAGTAAGGAGCGGATGCTGTCAAACTGCTGAGAGCCAGCCAGCCAGCCAGCCAGCCAGCCAGCCAGAGATAGGCAGAGAGAAAGAGACAGACAGACGGACGGACGGACGGACGGACAGACAGACAGACAGAAGGAGGGAGGTAGAGAGAGGGAGAGGGAGAGAGAGAGAGAGGGAGGGAAGGACAGGGAGGGGGGAGGGAGAGAGAGAGAGAGGGATGGAGGGAGAAAGAGAGAGAAAGCGAGCAAGCAAGCATGCCAGCCAGCCAGGCAGATAGACAGACACACACAGCAAGATCAGTGCTCTATTACCAGGTCAGAATTCCGACCTGATGTGTGTGTTAGAGAGAAACCAAGTATGACATGCGTAGCTTTCAGGACAGGCTCAATGAATACAGAAAGATTTCCAGGAAATGACAGAGCTTAGGTGACTTCTGAAAGTATGCAGGGAAGAGACTTCGAACCTGGGTCAGGAGGAGAGGATGAAGAACCAGCGGGGGCTACCCAGCGGCCTCTGCCGGCAGGAGTCCCAGGTTGTGGAAAGACAAGAAAGCCCCTCATTATAAACCTTCCAAGATGTAAAAGTGCACAAAAGAACCAACAAATAACTGCCTCTTTGCAACACTGCCTAACGGGCCGATTCTAAGAAGCCAAGGTGCTTCATAAAATATTTTTGGGCCACTGGAGGTCCTGTTTAACGCAGTACAACCCAAACGCTTGACAGTTCATTCGCTATCAGATAATCTCGTCATATACATTTTCATAAATGGACATAGAATAATTTTGTTTTTATAAAAACAAACCTAAGACAGGTAGAATTCTTCTCAACTTATATGGCTGCTTGACCAGGATCTGTACAGGCACAGGCTGGTCTGTGGTGGCTGGGATGAGCTGCGCTGGCAGCACCATCTATGCCCCTGGAATTAAGATGCCTACCACTAGGCTATAAAGGAAGATAAACCAGAGGCTTTTATAGGTAAATGGATGCAACTAGAGACCACATTCATAAGAAAATAAATCAAGCCCACATGTGCAAACATCATGTTGTTTCCCTCGTGTAAGAACCCGAAAGAGTAAATAAAATCGGAAAGGTGTAATAGATGCTGTGAAAGAGAAACTGCTCAAAAGGAAAGAACAGTTGGGATGAGGGAAAGGAGAAAAAAGGAAGGGGAAAAATAATTTATGTATATATACAGGATAGCTAAGATGACTGTGCTACTTATTTTTTTCTATATTTAGGACAGGGTCTACAGCATTTTACTACATATACTGGCCTCGTAATGATTCTCCTGCTTTTAGCCTCCCAAGTGCTGGGATTACAGGCACGCACCACCATGCCCAGGCTCAATCGTGGTCTCAGCGTGCCCACAGGCAGGCCTGGCACAGCATGAACCCGGGCCCAAGTTCTGCCTAAGCAGGCACTTGAATCCGCTGAGCTATCAGGTCGGCCCTCTATTGGTTTTTTTGAAAGGAACAGTTAATGCTTAAAGTTTTTATCTTGCCCAATTTTACATGCCTACACCTGGTAATCTCAGCACCTACAACGAGGACAATGCAACATAACAACTACCACTGAGTACCTATCATCTTGGGTTTTTTTTTTTTTTTTTTTGAATGGTGTATATTTCTAATGTCATATCTATTTTGTTAAATTCTCTTAAAAATAAAATAATCCTGTTGACTGCCTCAAGAAAGAAAGAAAAAAAAAGCCTCTCATATGCACTGAGGTGGAGTCCACGGCCAGGCCTTGGTCTCTAGCAGCACAACACAACCAAACACTCTCATTACCTGAAGGAATTGTTCAGCTCGTATATAATTTGTTAAATTATATCTAAAGTGTACTAAATGTCAGAAAACATTCAATGTAATATTTCTGTATTTATATCATGAGGTGATTTCATTCTATAGAACCGAGATAACAGAATTATTAATAAATATCCTCAATTCTAGGCACATTTCAAGGGCTGTTACACATACAGGAACCAATCTTCAGCTGAAAGCTATACAATAATTAATTTTTAGTTACAAGTAATACTGATACTTCATTATTTTTGTTTTAAAGAAAGGGAGGTTTCCTGGGGCATAGTCCAAGGTATCTCCTACCTCCATCTTCACAACATGTGTTTATGGGGGAAAGGCTAAGATGTAAGCTCAAATGGAAATACAGCTCTTAACAGCTGTTTCTGCTATACTAAAAATACCTTCCTTCCACGGGCTTTAAAAAGTTCCAGGTTCTTCTGCAGCTAAGAACACAGGATGGGGGTGGGGTGTTCCGCCAACGGAATCCTAACTCAGCCAGTTTTGGGTGAACTGGAGTACGGTGGTTAATTGCTTACCTAACACCTGGAGTTTGCGGCGAACTGGAGGGAGGGAGGGTTGCACTTGCGGGGTCGGCATGGGTGCACCAGAGCTCAGCGCAGGGTGCAGGGGAGGGCACGGCGCGGACAGGGTGCAAGGGTTGGGAGGTGCAGCACTTCGCTGGGACAGCTCTCCACACCCCAGGCACAGGCACACGTGCACACACACATACACCGGGCACACACGCAAGCGTGCACACACATACACGGGGCACACACGTGGGCGTGCGCACACACACATACACGGGGCACACACGCAGGCGCATGCACACACACATACACTGGGCAAGGGCAGGAGTGCGCACACACACATACACCGGGCACACACGTGGCCAACGCGCACACACATACACCGGGCATACACGCAGGCACGCGCACACACACATACACCGGGCACACACGCAGGCGCGCACACACACATACACCGAGCACACACGCAGGCACGTGCACACACACACACACCGGGCACACACGCAGGCGCATGCACACACACACATACACCGGGCACACATGCAGG